TTTTCATTCTGATCATTTATGTATACATTTGTCTATATCTATCTCGATTCGTTTTGCCTGTTACAAACAACCGTTATGTGAACAAAGTTATAATACCCTTGTGCACAAGTGCGCTCGGGTATAAAAATGGTTTGCTCTCAAAACAAGCAGGACTAGCAAAAAATTGGCGTAAAATAGTTACTGCTGATTCCTACTAGCTGGGCCAGCTGGGCGTGTCTTTAAATGTCTGGTTACACAGTTGAAAGTGAAATTTTCTACATACGTGCACCGCGGAAATAGACAAAAAGTAGTATCAGAAAGTTCGATTTGACATACATACATACATTCATAGTATCTGCATGCCCGTTGTTTTAATTTTTCACGTCGACGAAGGGTTTTACACGATTTCCTAAAAAATAATTACGATTAAAGATTCAAATAAAATAAAAAGTAAGAATTATTTTTCCCAAATTTCTTGTTTGAGGTAATGGCTGCATTTCTTTATTCATTCTGAACGTTTGGAATAAACCCTTTTGTTTATTTATTCTTTAGAACGTTCCTGATGATATGTTGACGTATATTTCAAACGCATTCTGTTTATTCCGGCTGTGAAATGGGATTATCCGGAAAGTATAAAGAAACGCAGCCAATATGTTTTATCCCAAATTTTGCTTTTTCGAGCTCTGGGGGAGGAGGCGATCGACCTTTTGATGGCTTGTAATCATCTGTTTTGAAATGATTAGAGCAAACTCGTAAATTTGTTTGTATCTATGTACGCAAGATTGCAGATTACACACATATTTTCATCGCTACTCCATTCCTAGAAAATATTAAAATTTAAAGACGAAATTCAATTCTAAACCGCTTATAGTAGAGATTTTTTCTGTCATTGAAACGCTCACGACTTTTTTGTGACACTTTTGAAATAATCATATACGCCTGCCTCGCTCTGAAAATACTATGGTTTCATTGTAATGTTTTCGGGCGGTACTAGCTGTTAATCAAATATAGGAGTATGACATAGTATATGGCAAAATTACATTAATCAAATAAAGGTGAGTGACACAAAAGCACAAGGTGTCAGATATTTGACCATATATATAAGCTATTAAAATTTAACAGTTGGGCCATATAGAAAACATTTGAAACTAATTTCCGTTATCTCACTTACCAAAGAATTCACAACAAACTCCATCATATTAGTGCCTGAAACATATCAAGAAATTACAGCATTTTTACTTTCTTTGGCAAATCACAATCTGGGGCCTATTTCATAAAAGTGACAGGTGCGGCAAATGTCGATTTTTCAATAAAATTTCAGAGCCCGAATGGTCGGCGACATTTTTTCTGTTTCTTATATGCTTGTAGGTAACTGTGAAAATTTTTGGAAAGCGACAGGGACAAAACTGGAATATTGTCGACAATGGTGATGACAATTGTCACTCTGACAAAACTGTAGTGACAATAGCGACAAAACTACATAGCTCCGTCTGAAAGTTTACACAGCAGAATTGTGTAAATTTATTTATATGGTAATTGCGCGCATTTAATTATTTTTCAATCATTTGAATATGTCTTAAAACTAAAACAATGCATTTGCAATTATTATATACGTATGAATTACATATACATACACTTCATATGACTGGCGACAATTTTGTCAACGACAATCTTAAGTCCCGAAAATGACACTTTTTCAATGCAATTTCTCATGGAATTCAAGCGGTAGTGGCAATAGTTTTTAGGAAACAAAAAACTCACCAAACTGTCGAATTGTCACTGACCATACGGAGTATGCTTGTCGTTACAAAATTATCACTGCAACTTTAAGAAATAGACCCCTGTTAGCCATAACTTTTGCTGTGTTGAGATCAAGACCCTAGACCATTAAGGAATCAATTTATACTTTAAATTGCATTGTCATTGTGATTGGAACTATGCTGAAAGTTTCAAGTCTCTAGCTTGTCGATTGGACATTTCCGTGGGATGAACAAATTAAATAAAAGCTTGTAAAAAACCAAGGCACATAAATACAGGTAGAACCCATTTTGACGTTGATCTCATGAGAACCAAACTTACAAACTTTAACTTGCTTTATTTTTATTTTTGTGTATATTTCGTTACTCTTGGAATGATGTGTCGCTTTGTTTTGAATTCTTGTTAATAGCAAATTTTAATTTTTGTAATGCGGTTTATACTAATGTCGTAAATGCAACACCTGAGGTGTCAAATATTCACTAAATTTTTTTAACGTCCCTCAATGTCTTTCGCTGAAGGAACGTTGGGAAAGCAGCTGTGATGTAGCGCTACCGGAAAGACCCTCCAACAACACTGGAACATATCAATCCAGTTGTGATAGCTTAATAAACGATAAACCAATTTACAACAAAGTTAATAAATGAAAATAAACTTCAAATTTACTTAAAAACTTCAGCCAATGAAATGTAATTTTTTATTTTTCCTTACACACGCTCATTTTTATTTTTACTCTCCTGAAAACTTTGACTTTTCAAAGTTTGACGTCATATTGGCTTCTACCGGTTTTTAACGTACCAAGGCGAATTTATATAAGGTGGTGTTGTTTAATCAGCTGTGTGTAGCGTTTGATTGTCAAAATTTTATATTTTGCTAGTGAGTGAGTGAAAACGTGAGAGTGTTTGCATTTTCTGTCGCCCTTTTTCATTCGGAGAAGAATAGCTGAAATTTGACAATCACCAGCTAAAAGCAAAAACAAAATACAGGTAATTGTTGTATTTGTTGAATCGATACCACCTTATATGAATTCGCCTTGTAACGTACCTTGGTAAAAAGCGTTTTCTAAAGGTGTTCTTAAACGATATGTATTTGCATGCCACCTTTTAACCGACTTCCAAAAAAGGAGGAGGTTATCAGTTCATCGGAATATTTTTATTTTTTTTGTATGCATGTCAACCGATTTCGAAAATTCTTTTTGTCGGAGGTGGTCCCATACTAATCTGGTTTAGATCAGATCATTGGATCATGAAATATGTATATATAGATATATATATTTTTTAAGTCGGTTGTTTTTTGCTAAAAATTACTTGTTACATATGGAAATGCCAACATATCGTGTAAAGGCAAATTAGATTTGTTTCTGTACAAAGCAGATGCACGTACATACGAAATAGAAATGTTTCTATTTTCATCTGACACACAAGTAGAATCATCTGAGTTAAGTTTATTTCTTTTTCAAAGATCGTATTTTTAAATAGTTAAATAAAGACTGTGAATTTGACAGACATACACAATTACATATGTATTGAAAAAGTCACATTTACAGATGCAAATACATATAGTTCAAGAATACCTTAACATTCATGAGTACGTAAACCCTTTTAAAAACTAACGTAGCCAAAAATTCCTTAGCTCGAGAAGTCATTTAAAAATAGTTTTATATAAACACATAAATGGGAGATTCTAGGATGTCAAAAAATTCTAAACATGGTTTCGTGAATTACTCGACCAGACCAACACTTAAAAAGTTAATTTTTCGTTTTACATAGTGTTATTTATCAATAAACGGGGGGTACTTACAATTTTCTATGGTCTGTACATTTCAGGAATGAGGAACCGTGCAGTTGGTTCTCATGCCATGAACGATCACTCGTCGCGTTCACACACAATGCTCACGGTGCACATAATTTCTGAACAACAAACGGATGGTGGAGTGTTTATTTCGAAGCATGGAAAAATAAATTTTGTGGATCTGGCTGGCAGTGAACTTACCAAGAAAACACTTAGTGAAGGCAAGACGCTGGAGGAAGCAAATAATATTAATAAAAGTTTAATGGTTTTAGGTAAAACCACATTTTACTTGAGGATAATATGGAAATCAGTAAACATTTTTATTCCAGGATATTGTATTGCTTCATTGAGCGACAATAAAAAACGATTCGGACACATTCCCTATCGCGATAGTCAATTGACCAAATTACTGGCTGACAGCTTAGCTGGTAACGGTGTTACACTGATGATCGCTTGCGTCTCTCCAGCCCAATACAATTATGCTGAGACTTTGAACACTTTACGATATGCGTCCAGAGCCAAAAGGATTCGCACGAAACCTGTCATTATGATGGATCCACGCGAGGCGCTTATATTGAGCCTCAAGCGTGACATAAACGCTTTAGAAATTGAAAATGATCATCTCAAAGCTGCGCTAAATTTGCACCATGATTTTATGAAGACACCAAACGGGGCGCAACAAAATGGTGAACTATTAGAATTGCATCTCGAACGTGTAGCGACCGGTGGTATCGAGGTACCGAAAGTAAATCTGGAACGCTTAGTTGAGTTAGATGGTAATGAATTGGCTGAACTGGTGAAACTGTATATGCAAGAGAATGAAGCTTTACGACAAGAAAACAATCATCTATTCACTGTTCGTGAAACCATACTCAGGGATCAGGAAATTGTATGTCGCGAGAATGAACGATTGCTCAAAAAGCTCGAAGACGTCAACAAGTAAGTACAATATAAGTACATACATACTTACATTCATAAGCACGAATTTGTAATTTATTCAGAAAATACTGAATTTTAGAAAAGGTATTTAGTAGAGTACGACCGATTAATCGGCCGATTCCGGAGCTAGTATAGGCCAAAAGAATCGGCATCGGCCGTTTTTGGCCGATTCTTAATGAGGTTATGTAATTTAGTTATTTCATTATGTTTTTATTTTGTTATTATAAAAGCTTATAAAAGCATTTGTTCTTGAAATGAATTTAATTCAGGATTTAACCGACCGCAGTATCGGCCGATTCTTTGCCGATTAAATCCTGAATATAATTTCATTCTAAGAACAAATGCTTTTATAAACTTTTATAATAACAAAAGAAAAACATAATCAAATAACTAAATAACAATACCTAATTCAAGAATGGGCCAAAAACGGCCGATTCCGATACTTTTGGCCGATATTAGCCTCGGCATCGGCCGATTCATCGGTCGGACTCTAGTATTTAGCCATTCCCTATGTATAAGTCTCATTGTTCTTCTTCTCCTCTCGTTCTAGATCGAGATCCGAGACGTCGAGCAATGAGTCGGATACAAAAGAAACAGCCGTACAAACAAAATGAATTGAAGCTTAGAAGCAATGTAGTTAAATATTCAAAACGCACAATTTTTATTAAATATAAATATTTATGTACATGCATATGTATATGTATGTATGTAAACATATATGTACAGTGGAATCCCGATAATTCGTTTTAGCAAGGGACCGGTAAAATTTCATGACCGAATGAGGTTTCTGAGTTAACGAGATTTCGATTTTACCTGACAGGAAAAAATACATATATACAAAAAATTTCAAACAAAAAAGTTAACGGTAAACGTAAACGCTATACTACTATCACCTGTTTTTTTTCGAAGTATGCCTATGCACAACTGCATAAAACTTTTTTTGCATTGCGATTTAAAACAGGTTTTCAACAACAAATATTTGTTATTTAATTTTAACTATTTTTTTATCCGCAGTAGTATAAGGGTTATCAGTGCGCGCTACCGGGATGGTAGGGTCGTTTCAACCTAACATCACAAAAAAACTGGTTTAAATTAGCGCTTGCTCCTCGGCAAACAATGGAAAAACTGCCATTTAAAACAGCTTCTCATAAAAATACAATCGCCGTTCGGAGTCGGCGTAAAACTATACGCCCCTCCCCTATGTGTGACAACATCAAGGCGCACGCCACAAATCAGAGCTAGGCAAAATACTAACATATGTGTAAGCTCCAATCTTTTTAAATATCATTATTATTATTTATTATTTAACAAATTCCGGATAAATTCAAACTTTTTTTGTGGGGAGTGATATATGTATAATGTACATATGTATGCAAATATACTTACATACGATTGAGTTTCTCCAAAACCTCTGAAATTGAGGAAATACACATATTGCTTTGAACAAACAAATCGTACTTCGGGAAGATTTTATACCTTCACGTTACAAGCCACGTTCTAACCACTTATTTTTAGTAAACGATAAAATTTGAAAAATTTCAATCTGGAATCCTTGCACAAATTTTTAAGATTCCTACAGCTTTCAAACGCGCATTTAATTTTTGATTTTATTAAAATTACTGATTTTTCGTTTTAAAATCCGTTGTTTGAAATTTTTTCAAAGGCAGTTGAAAAATAATTTTTTTTAAGGCTGGTGGCAATGCGAATTCATATAAGGTAGGGCTGCCAGACGTCCCGGTTTCCCCGGACATGTCCCGGTTTTAGACTATTTGTCCCGGGGTCCCGGTCCAAACTTAAAATGTCCCGGGTTTCGTTTTAGTGTCCCGGTTTTTGATTTGATTGCACAAATTTGAATAAAAGTTCAAAAACACTACACTAAGGGGAAAAACGCGTTGTAATATTCAAAAAAAATGTTATGAATTCACTGAGGGAATTAACGCATAGTAAACATGAATATTTTCTATTTGATTACACAGCCACACAAAAAAAAATTTGTGTTCTGACCCAAAGGTCTCACTATGTGTACTGTATGTTTTTGGGGTCGCTGAATCCGAATCCGAGGTCCATTTAACCCCATCACATCAGGGTTTTGATATAACCCCAGAAAACCAATATGGCGGACACCTTTTGGAAAAATTCATCGGATTCGCTTGAAACTTGTTACTCGGGGGTTTTCGGGGTCGCTAATTACGAATATGATATTATTTTTTCAAAATTCAAAATGGCGGATCCAATATGGCGGACACATTTTTGTAAAATTCATCGGATTCGCTTGAAAATCGTTACTCAGGGGTTCTGGGAGTCACCGATTACGAATTCAGTTTTCGAAAATTCAAAATAGCGGATCCAATACAAAAAGTGTCCGCCATTTTGAATTTTCGAAAACTGACATCAAATTCGTAATCGGTGACTCCCAAAACCCCTGAGTAACGATTTTCAAGCGAATCCGATGAATTTTACAAAAANCTGAAGTTGCCAGCGAATTTCGTTGATTTTTAGCATTTATTTTTTTTGCTGACAGTGTCTTCCATATAAAAAGAATTATCTATCAAACATAGTTTGTATGGAAGAAACTCTCCGTAAAAACAATACCAAAAATCATCTAAAATTTAATGGGCTGCAAAACTTCATTTTAAACATTTTTATAAAAAGTCTGATTAGAATGTTGCAAATTTGTAGGCAAATTTATTGAATTTTACCGAGTTTAGCACAAAGTTTAACAATTTTATTTTGGTATCGATTCAACAAATACAACAATTACTTGTATTTTGTTTTTGCTTTTAGCTGGTGATTGTCAAATTTCAGCTATTCTTCTCCGAATGAAAAAGGGCGACAGAAAATGATTTCACAGATGATGATTTCACTCACTCACTAGCAAAATATAATATTTTGACAATCAAACGCTAGACACAGCTGATTAAACAACACCACCTTATATAAATTCGCCTTGGCTGGTGGCTTGATTTTGATAGAGATGTCATAATGCCAGCAAAAGTCAAATAGCTAACATGGCGGCAAAAATCAGTGAAAAGAGAGTGAAACTACGTTTCCTTTTTGTATCATAGGCTTTAGTACAAATGGAAAAATTTGATTTTTGTTCTAGTTTTTAAGTAGGGCCAATGTATATAAATTAGTTGCGTTTTTTTACTCATTTCCAGTAAAATCCAGTAAAAGATTTTACGAATTTTCATGTTTTGGCGTTTTCGTACCCAAAAACTTGCAAAGTAGGGGAAATTGAGAGAGCGAAAAATGACAGTTGAAGTTGCAAGTTTTTACTGGATTTTACTGGATAAATTTTTACATGTAAGAATTTGCCAGTACGAAAAACAGCTGATCGCATGTTGCTGGATGAAATTTAAACTAATAAGGAAACTGTTTGTGGGTTTTTATTGTTGAGTTTCACAAAATAAACCTATTTAAATATAAAATATATTGTTTTATTAGGAATTTGCTGCGAATAAACAACCAATTTATCAGCTGTTCATGAAACTTGCAAATTATTACTGGAAAAGCGTTCACGTTCTTTCGCTATGTATCAATTTTTCCTAGCGATTTGTTGTCCGTTAAACCTTGTATGTATGTTATGCCAGTAAATATTCTATTATCATTTTTAGTTTTCATATTGTTGTTCGCGCCTTCTATTTTGTTAATTGTTGTTGCTATGAATCCTTCTATGAGCGCGCTAGGGTATCCGTTTTTATATAAGATGGGTTTAGTTTTATTCTTGTTCTCTTTTCTGAACTCCTGGTCGCTGACTTTATAAATTTTTTTCAATTAAGTTCATGGCAGTATTTTTCTTTTGACTCCATGGCTTATTTGAATGAAAATTTATCATCCTAGATGAGGCTACAGCTTTTGAATACCAATTCAGTCTAATCTGGTTATTATCTCGATGGATTTCAACATCTAGGAAGGCTAACCTCTTATTTTTTTTCCTCTTCCGCTGTGAATTTAATTTTTGTATGCTGTGCTTTTTTAAATGCTTTTAGTATAACCTCCACGTCCGTTTTCTTAATTATGGCAAATATATCATCTACATATTTGTTTATGTATTTTATATATATGCCCTTAGATTTAAGTTCAGCGATACTATCATCCAGTATTTTGTCTAAGACAATATCAGCTACAGTTGGGGATAAAGGGTTTCCCATCGGCATTCCATATATCTGCTGGTAGTGTATTCCATCATAAACAAAGTAATTGTTGTCTCGCAAACAGAACTCGAGAACGGACTGAAATTGTTTTTTTGTAATCGTCGTGTGTTTTTCNCGTGTCTTTTCCAAAATTTGCCAGTTTTGCATGATTGTCCTAATTGCTAATTGAGTAGGGATATTAGTAAAAAGTGATATTACATCAAATGATATTAATATTTCGTCATCTTCAATGGTAGTCTTGCTGAGATTGTCTTTAAGTTGAAAGGAGTTTTTTATATTGTAGCTTTCTGAGACGATATTTTTCAATATTTTTCCTATAAATTTGGCGAGGTTGTAGCATGGAACGTTAACTGACGATGAAATAGGTCTAAGTGGAGTGTTTACTTTGTGAATTTTCGGTAGTCCGTATAATCTTGGTGCTGTAGCTGCATGGCATGTCAATTGTTGTTTGAGTTNCTTGAAATTGGTCTAAGTGGAGTGTTTTCTTTGTGAATTTTCGGTAGTCCGTATAATCTTGGTGCTGTAGCTGCATGGCATGTCAATTGTTGTTTGAGTTTTACGTCTATATTTTTTTGTTTATATATCTCATTTATGATGGTATTATTTTTTCTTAACAATTGTTGCGTCGGGTCAATTCTTATGGTCTTATATGTTTGTTTGTCACTTAAGGCCTTAAGAGGCCTTTCATTTCATTTTTATAATCTGCTTGGTACATCATGACTGTTTTGTTACCTTTGTCCGCACGTGTGATAACCAATGAATCTTTATGTTTGTTTAAAAAATTTTTTGTTTCTTCATAAATTCTTAGTATAAATTTTTCTTTTGGTTTNTCATGACTGTTTTGTT